TCGCTAAGGAATCGATCCTCCTTTCCCTCTGTCAATTACTTGATCGCGGTCGTCGCAAAATGACGATCCACCTTGCGTGCCCTGGAAGGAAGGGGCGATAAGGCCTGCGGGTAAACGAGTCCAAGTGAGAACGCTGTCGGGAGACATAAGACCAGCAAGAGAGCAAGGGAGAACGACGTTCCGGAAGGAACGAGGCCGTAGGCCGGGGCTGAAGGAGAATCTTCTTCGCCGGCGTGAAAATATTGGCAGTAATACGCTTATCGGGATACCGGCATTGAAACCTTCACAGCAGGGGGTGGGACGCCCGAGACCGGAGTCTTGAGAGCGGTAGTGGAAGCCCGGGGCCTATGCGACCCGTAGGAGCAAGCGAGAACGCCACGCCCCTCGAGCCAATAGTCGGCGGCCCAGCCGTGCCGGTAAAGCGTTGTCCGGTCAGGCCTCGAAGCCCGGACGCATAAGTCTGTCTCTACTCCAAGAGACGGTTAGGGCATCAAATAGGCCATCTCACTCGGACACACGGTCTCCAGGGCGGATAGAGGGAGACACGAGTATGCGCAGTCCCCTTACAGCACCGGCCTACCGTCCGCGTGCTACCACCGAGGCTGAGTGTCGACGGACTCGAACGCTTCCCGAATGACTCACCCCCCCCTCCGCCCCCTTACCGGCAATGTGTAACGCTCGTCAGGGTATTCATATAACGAAATATTGGCCATTTCAATTTACTTTGGGCTGTAGAGGAGCTGTTCGACCGTCGCGAAACACGCTACAACTTGTTTGCATATAATATCATATTGCAAGAATGTCAATTCCTTCGAAACGATACAATTTTATTTCCAATTACGGTTCAATCTTTTACTGTCATAAGTTCAATGTGTTCATGTAATCAAATTTTAAAATTAACGAGAAATCCTGTGGTTTTCTCATGCTTCATAAACTTATTTTTTATATTATGGTTTTCCTGCGTTATTCGTTCAATTTGTGCACACTGCAATCTTTTGACTACATTTCACAGTAATGTATTTGAGGTCAGGTTGGGAAAAATTAAGCCATCAATTTTCTAGCAATTAATTTCCTTTTCAGTGTATTGGTCGGGGCGAATCGGGAAACGATGGTTAGAAACTACGGTAAGCAGATTGGCCATCGAGTGTATAAAAATGACACCCACGATATCTTTCAGACTGCACTCAAGCGAGAAAAACGGGACCAAATAACTTTGACAGATACTAAAGAAATTTATAAAGTTTTATATTGACTGCTTATTTTTAAGGAGAATAAAATGTATTTTAAGACGTTCACATAGACTAGCATTTATGTTTTCTTTCATGAATTTCTAGATTTATGTTGTTTTACTTCTGCGCGGGAAAGAAAATGAGTAAATTCAACTCATTTTCTGAGTTAAACATGGCGATCTCAATAAACGAGTTGGTTCAACTTACATTTAGTGCAAAATCACATTTTGTAGTTGAATCAACTCACAAACTTGACTGAAACAGAATTGATAGCTCCAAATCTAAATTGAGTCAACTGGTTTATTGAGTTCGCCACATTTAACGCAGTAAATTAAATGAATTTACTCTCCTTTTTTTTTCAGCTTACTAAAAAATACGAGAAAACATATGTTTGGTGAGGGTTGCATATGGTGTTCCTAATAGCAGATTGTATTTTCTATTGGGAAAAAAAAAACTTGTTTCTTGAGTGTTGCGTTCGAGTCCGTCGACACTCGGCCTCGGCCGTAGCACGTGGACGGAGGGCCGGTGCGTTAAGGGGACTGCGCATACTTGTGTCTCCCTCTATCCGCCCTGGAGGCTGTATGTCCGAGTGAGATGGCCTATTTGATGCTCTAAACGTCTCTTAGAGTAGAGACAGACTTATGCGTCCGGGCTTCGAGGCCTGACCGGATAACGCTTTGCCGCTGGCTTGGCCGGCACGGCTGGGCCGCCGACTATTGGCTCGAGGGGCGTGGCGTTCTCGCTTGCTCCTACGGGTCGCATAGGCCCCGGGCTTCCACTACCGCTCTCAAGACTCCGGTCTCGGGCCTCCCAACCCCTGCTGTGAGGGTATCAATGTCGGTTTCCCGATAAGTGGATTGTTGTCACTGTTTTCACGCCGACAAAGAAGATTCTCTTTCTGCCCCGTGCTACGGCCTCGTTTCTTCCGAACGTCGTTCTCTCTTGCTCTCTCGCGGGTCTTATGTCTCCCGACGGCGTTCTCACTTGGACTCGTTTACCCGCAGGCCTTATCGCCCCTTCCTTCCAGGGCTCGCAAGGTTTATCGTCATTTTGCGACGACCGCGATCAAGTAATTAAAAGAGGGAAAAGAGGATCGATTCCTTAGCAAAAACTGTCGTCCCGAATAAACTATGCCGTCTACACTTAACTAACCTTTCGTCATCCCTGTTTTATTTAGACATGCAAATTCATAAACCATGTGGAAACTGAAAAATGATGAAATTTCACCCCTCTCCCCCTGTGATTTTCTATCTCATGATCTCTTATTATGTTGGAAATATATCCTATCTTCATCTTACTCACACTGCCTACCGGGCCTTTGCCACTCTTGTCTGAGAAACTCCGGCTCCTTCTGTACATCTCTCTTTCTCCCGTGGTGTCGAGTACACTGGACTCCATCGATGGCTTGCACCTGGTCGGTATGGAGACATCTGTATATTTTGCTTACGAAAAAGGTCGCGCGATCGCATTCTGTGCTGCCCTCTGGTTTCGTACGTTAGCTTTCACCGCTTTTGCCCCCCCAAGGACGGCGTAACGAATTACTGGTAGGGGCTCGCGCACTCGGGACGGCGGTGTCATCCACCAGTCGCAGTTGCCGGCTCACGTACACGCGGGGACGTGTCACAAGCTATCTCTCTGGTTTTCGTTTTTGCGCCGTAGTTTTTCCGTTGGGGCATGAGTTCAGTCATGCGCACGCGGGGTAACGTGGGTTGCACCGGACTGAACGCATCGCACTCGTCGCGCGCGACGCCCCTGGTGACCGATGGCCGGACTTCGTCTGGGGCTCGCCACAGCATACTGTTTTACCGGTCACGAATATTTCGCCTCTTTGAGAGCAGTTCCAACTTATGCAAGGGCGAAGAGGGCGCCAATGAGCCGAGCCTGACTTTCGAACAAAGGCATGAAACATCTCCCTGCTCATCTATGCTATAATTAACACAAATTTAATTAATAAATTTGTACGTGTCGAAAGTCATCGATGAAAATGAAATGAATGTTGTATAAAAAAACTAAACAATTATTAGCCGTTTATATAGTAATTATACGTCTTCTATAGCTTTCCCTTTGGCTGATATTTCCGGACGAGATGGTCGACGGAGTAAATGAGAAGTTCTGATTGGCTGTTGAAAGTCAGGTAGTCAGTTATGACGGAAGTGCGTCACGACGCTGTTTCAGTAGCCAATCTTGTCGTGGCGACAAACAGCAACCAAAGAGCGAAGCGAATTTCTCCCCTCTACCGTTTCAGGCAAAAGGTTTCTCGATTCAGAGGGTAAAGAATCGATTCTCAAGAAAATCGATTAGTAAAGAATCGATTCTAAAAACAGATTCTTCCACCAAAAAAATCGATTTTTTAATGAATCCAATCGGAATCAAACATCCCTAGTTAAGGGAGGTCCCCCTTGTTTTGGCAAACTGACAATATGAATACAGGCATGAGAGATCAAATCGTTGGTGAAAGTATTGTCAAAATTGGGTGTACCGAATCGTTTCAACTTTTCCACGTCAGCGTGGAGGCCCTAAAGTAGGTCCTGAAACTCATGACATTTTATTTCTTAGAAAAAGTTTATTTATCATGGACTACAACCAACATGGCATGGTCCGTGTACGTTTTTGCTGTTTTACACTTCTTGGAGGCTTAGAATCGAAAATGAAAAGTTTCAGGATCTAGTTCGAACAATTTACAATACCATACAAGTGGAATATTATAGAATATTATAGAATCAGATGTGAAAATATGGAAAATACTCGCACGAACGATTGCAAGAGAATGCTGGCTTGTTCCGTGGCTGACGTGTTTTTAGAGAAAAGTATAGTTGTAGATAACCAGCAGAGAGAGCCATTGGTCCGTTAGAATTAAAAAATCATGAATTCACGAATTTCGACAGTTTTGCATCATTTCTTTGTCATTAGTTAACCGAAATGATATAGAACGCTGTATTTCGTATAATTCTTAACCTAGACTGTAAAAGACTTCAACATAAATATAAATGTCGGTGACGTGACGTACTAGGTTATGTTACCACTTAAACATTCGGAATGACATTGCCATAAAAAAGGCTATAGATAAATTTTGTTTTATCGACGTTGATTAAACTTCTCAACGCCTTTCATATTACCTTAATACTGGGTGTTAGGTTTTGTACAATTATGAAAAAATAAACTGATTAAAAAATTTATTGTTCCTTCCATAAAATATTCAAACATTCTCAGGTTGTTGAAGAAAGCCGAGGAAATGGATTCTGTTTTGAAATAACAAGCTTCTTATGTTGATGGGAAATGTAGCCTTTGATTTTTCCTTCGTAGATTAGGTTAGCAACAAGACATTCTGTTTCATCCATATCAACATCTTCTACACCATGCATTTTCAAAGACATAAGCAGACTTTCAACAGGAATTTGATGGGTATTCAAAACTAAATAAACCTTTTTGAATAAATTCCTATAAGCAATTAATTTTAATTTCTCAACGATCAAATAAATTCCAGCACCTATAAAGAAGGTTTCATGTTTGTCCATTACTCTTTCAAGACTTCGTAAATCACCATTTTTAACCGCTTCTACAAGTTCCCAAAATTCTAAAAGGCTGTATTTTTCCAAAAGCATTCTTTTAGGCATAAAACCAAGTAACATCTTGACTGGTATAAGATACATCAAGATCAATCGTTTATTCTTTTTCGATTGCCTATGGCAGCGTTCAAAAGCAAATGTCAAATGCTCATCAGCTGAAACAGTAAACATTTGCAATATATTTTCTTCAAAAGAAAGGTTATAATTACTGGGTTTTTAGTCTTTTTCTTCTAAAAAAGAACTTACCGGCTTTATAATCACTGTCGAACATAGCCTTTCGGCCAACAAAAAATTTATATGTAATTTGCTGAGCTAGTGCAAAATGATCTTTATATGCAGAAGAATCAATTGCCCTTATAAGTGGCTTACATAAATGTAATTTGTTAATTCTAAAATATACTTTTAGAAGTTGATTAACTAAAACCAACATTCCCCATCTTTTCGTATCATCTTCCGAGCTACGATTGTCAGCTGCACAAACTCGAAAACAGCCCATTAAACATTCTGCACATTTCTCAAGTACCTCTCCTGGTTTCATGTTTTTGTTGGTTCTACTGTTCTCAGCTCGGATTGCCAATAACCTTAGCTCCAGGCACATTATATTCATGACAGGTAACATCCAATTTTCTTCCTTTTGAAGTTGTAAAATTTTTGTCAAACATTGTACCCCCATACTTTGGTGAGTGTAAGTAGCATAGTTATCATTACTTAATGAAGCAATAGTCCTAAAATTACTCAATTCAGTTAAATCACATATCGATGCATTATGCAACAGATGAAAACAGATGGTGATCTTACTTTAAATGATAAAGAACTAAATCATCAAAAGGAGTTGGCAGATGTTCCATTGCTTTAGTCATTGCTGTATCGGTACTAAGTTGAGGTATCGATACATGATTATGTCTCAGGGATAGCATTTCCTATTAAATAATAGGAGATAAATAAATTTAATATGACTATGACAGAAACATTATAAAAAATGTTAGTGCTGCTCTGAATTAACTTACGGCTAGAACATCTCCATCCTGATTCAGCCAGACACGTCGAAGCTACAATTACACCACATTATTTAGATTGCATTATTATAAGTAACTTAATCCCATTCAATGTCATTTTCGCCTGACGATTACATTATGTTTCAGTGCTCAATCCTTGCAGTAATGAAGCTATTGATTAATAATGTAAATTACCTGCATAATGTATGATTCCATGGTTTAATATCGAGCGTTTGAATAAAGTACGATTTGCCACTTAGAACATCAACTCACATTATATACTTTACAAATTTGTACAATCTTTGTTGCAAAATAATTGCAATGCCTGTTACTGAATCTTTTCTGAGCAAGTAAGAAGGCTTAAGCATCATAAAAAAATCCTATTACATTCAAGATTCGAATATTTCTGCCAGTCTAACATTACACAATTTTCAAAGTTAATCTTAACCCTCCAACCATTGCTTCTACCATGGATCACAGCAGAGATGAGCTGGGAGACAGAGATGAGTTGGGAGATTGCTCACGGGCAGGGTCGCGCGATCGATCGTGTGCTGCCCTCTGGTTTTGTACGTGAGCTTTCTAGAGTTCTAAATCCAGTAAGTTATGTCAGAAACGAAGAGAAATTCCCGGTAATTTATCGGTAATTTCTCCAAAGCCTTTTTTATCGAGAAATTATGAGAATTTGAATTTTTCAACAGAGCGAACGAGAGGTTTCGATTAGCTATAGAGAAACATCGTAGAGGGGAATTTCCGTTGTACGTTCTCTGTAGCCAATCAAAACCTCCCATTCGCTTCGTCGCAGAATGAAATATCTGTTCGTTTGAAACAAATGGCATGGAATTTTCCGTGAAGTTGTACATACGTGAATATTTTTAGCTGGAGGTAAATACGACCCTATAATCAATATTTTCTAATAATAATTATTACTCTTTAGTTTGAACTTTGAAGTTGATTGGAAAAAAAAAAAGTTATTTAAACGAAGAAACCTAAAGTATAAATAACAAAATTAACGTTCTCTTAAATTCTCAATGTTCCCGGTAACTTACGGTATGTTTCACAGTTACCTTCCCCAATTTAATGTTACCGAGAATTTTCGAACTCTAGAGCTTTCACCGTTTTTGCCCCCAAGGGCGGCGCAACGAATTTCTGGTAGGGGCTCGCGCATTCGCGATGGCGGTGCCATCTACCAGACGCCGCTGGCGGCTCACGTACTCGTGATGGTAATAACATGCGGGAATTGACGGTGGTGGCTTACTTACGCTTACCAACAGTGCTCGCATTTGATGGTAAGGGAAAAACACTCGTGGCGTCCTCTTTGACTTTACCGTTCACTTACCTTATTTATTTTATCCGTAAATGATACAGGCAAAACTACAACGTGGGTGCTCGAGAGTTGAGTTATACTTTATATATCATTTTTATAAGCTACGGAAATTAATGAAAAAAATTGTAAATGTTCCCTAGGGACCACATAAAACCTAAATGAAAAGAGATTCGCAACAACATAGCTTGACGTAGTCGGTATAACGTCAGGTGTAACGTATGTGTCGCAAGTTCAAATCCTGAAGGAGAGGAAGGGTGGGTACTGTCTTTTACTCAAATTTTTTTCGTCACGTTTTACAGTTCATAACAATTGCACTAAATACATTACAATTATGTAATTTTTTATTATGAGTTAAGCTTTTCATTAATTGTTTTACCGTCTATAAGGTGATTTTAATAATTAATGTGAAATTAATTAAAATAGTACTGTAAGATAACAGTATCAATCTTTCTTATCGTTAGTATTATTTAGTTACCCATGTTGCTACCGTTCTCATTCATTGCAAAAATTTAAACTATAATTATCATTTTGAGAATGAATTAATGAGTTCGGATGTTAAAAACCTTCCGTTGAAATATTTGTCCCATACGTTGGTAATTTTATTGCAAAACATTTATCCTGAAATATTCCAGCTCACGGTCAAATAATGGTAATCAGCAAAATTTCAATACATCGGTAAACACCGAATACGCTAGTCGTGAATGTCATGGATCGCACGAGTCAGCGAAAGAAGAAAACAATGAGTTTGAAGTACATTGTTGCCTCGAAGTCGACGAGAAAGCATCGGTCATACGCCAGTACCACGTACGGAACTTACATGCAGCGAATCTGTGTATGTGCGATCGCTCCTACAAATCTTCGCGTGTCTCGATCAGCCAAGCGCCAAGCTACGAAGCATTGAGTATGTGTGCGTTCGGCGCCACACTCATAGCGAGTATGGGTGAGAGCCAGTATTCTATTTGATTATATTTTTTGACAATGTAACAAATTTATTTGATTGGTAGTTAAACAAATTTTGAACTATCAATAAATAAACATCGTGTATGACATCAACTTCATGTCCAACATTTTCCAATTTCTCACCATTAGGAAGCATTCTTTTCGTAAATTAGTATAAATTGAGGTCGTGCACGTCTTTCACAATTTTCTCCAATTACATGTTCAAGTTGTACAGGCACATATCTAGGCTATAATGGTATTATATACATATATAATTCATTTCATTAGTATACGTAATAATTATAATTTTATTTATTGTAATCATTACATATGGTACAATGGCAATTTTAATTATATTTTTTGGGCGTCGCCGGTATATAGAGATAACAGAGCATCGTGGCTCCCGAACCGAAAGTGTGCTAGAATAGGGGAGATCGGGGCAATTTATCCTGCTAGGTAAATTTACCAATGTTTAATAACTTTTTTGTATTTTTTACTTGATATCATTCTCAATTTTATCATAGATTCCTAATCGTATCCCACACTTTCGTTGGTACTTGATATCATTTTCTGCGACGTTCTTTATTTGTTAAAAAAAAAAAACGAAAACTGCAACGGTAGGTAAATTTGTATAAACCTTTTTTTCCTTATTTTGTAGTGAACTGTAATACTTTTTGTGATTCTGAAAATATGACATACGGAAGTAGCGTCCATGAGCTTTATGTTACCGTGTATATTTTCTTTAATAAAATAGCTCATTGTATGTCAATTGATCGATATAGTAGCAACCGGAGAAAATTGACTTACTAGAAACGAAGAGAGTTCAGTTGCGCTCAGAATTATACCGTGACATTTTTTTCATTGACTGATCCACGTGTCGTTCGATTCATTTACAAGTAATCGTAACTTAACCTCTCGTTCGTAACAAACTTCATTGAATCCTAGTCTTTTCATGATTATTCACCAACTGCAACTCAAGAAACATATTTAGACAATTTTTCAGAACGCATTTTCATTTCTTCGTCGCGTCCTTTATTCAATGCGGCGAATTCAGTCCCGGACCGGGCCGACCAACCCTCGTGCACTCCGCAAATAGCGAAAATCGACATTGCAGCGCTCGGACTCAAAGTGCGATAAAATACAAAGAAAATAATAGCCATTTCACGAGTGTAAACAATTTTTTTCGGGGATCACCTCAAACCGGCTCACCCGGAAAGGATCGTCGCGCGTCGTGAGCCATCCCGGGGCAACCCTGCATTTTCCCGAGATACCAACCTTCCTCGTGCCCCCCACAAATAGCGATAATCGAGCATTGTGGCTCCTGAACTCAAAACGTGCTACGATGCGTGCAAAGAAAAGAATCGCATGTTCGTAAGTTTCAAAAACTGGTCATGGCAAGAGATTCAACCTGGTTCGGCTGGGAAAGATTTTGGGTCGCAAGTGGTGATTCTGGAAAATTCAGAAAATGATAAAAATGACTAATTTTTAATTTTTCGAACTTGGCATAAAAAAATAGAACAAAAATTGAGGATTTCAGGAAACGGATTCCCAACCCTGGATGAGGTTGGGGTGTCGATATTTCGGAGGTTTCTGAAGGTTGGTTCGCGGTGCGTCTTTTGTTCGACATGGCGGATTTTGTCCCGGGCTTGTCGCCAAATTATCTTAACTCTTTGCGTTTCAATTTAATTTTGGAACCATTCTAGCTGAATGAGTCTATCGTCATTGTAGCACAACAAGTTAAAGGAACGGTTATCAAACATCTGGTTTTAGACAAAAAATGAGATCGCAAAGTAATGTGGACAAAATTATTTTGAAACATAATTTTCAAATCAATTACATACAATTTATTGCAACGTGGCGTCCATCGTGAAAGTAATGTCAATATGGTCCGAGTAAAAATGTAATGAAACCCTAATAGCAGAGAATGATTTCTAAATATTTTTTTTGTAATCATTGCTAAATATCTCAAGCAATAGATTTTTTAAGACGTGTCGTAGATTTCATTAGAATATATCTAAAATATTTGTTGAAAATCTTAATGATATGTTTAGTTTTAATAATGAATACACATATCAAAAATATATTTTTAATATATAAACAATATAATTGCATGAAGTGCGATGAGATGGGTGTAAAGACTCAATATAATTTGGTTTCTGCATTATATATTTTAAACTTCCTTATAAGGATGAGCCAAAGTAGATGAAAATTTTTTAGACTTTCAGCGACCATCCTATATACCCATACGCAACGATAGGTGTAATATACGTATATTAGATATATATGGAATATCCATACATCTATAGGAGATCTATATTATTCATTGACACCCGCTATACTGCAGATAGATATCTATTTTACATATATAGATCTATATCACGTATACGCACTTATTGGATATTCTGTAGATAATCGCACATATCTAGGTTTGGTGTATGCATACCTATGATTGATCTATATCCGTATATACGGTTCATATACAAAAAATAGATGTACATAAAACGTCCATTAAATTANATCAAAATTACGCTGAATCATTGTTAAGACATTTCATATTAACTTTCATCAAAATTTATGGAAAAGAATTCGTGTCCCATAACGTACATAATCTTATACATCTAGTTGACGATGTACGTCGTTACGGAAATCTTGATTTATTTAGTGCTTTTAAATTTGAAAATTACATGAGAATTTTAATAATTTTATAGTTTATAAAACAATATGAATGATGTTTGAAACGACGTATTTAATAAGGATTTCCATTTTTGTGATTGTGGTGTCGCCTCATCTTGCAAAAATATGAAAATTTAAAAAAAGCGCCATTTTTTACCATGGTTACTTTTACCACGAATACTTCGAAGACGGTTAGAATTAGAGGAAAAACACATCGAGCTATTTTCACAGAATACAAAATTTTCTCTCAGGAAGTCACAGACAGCTTTTTTCTATTTGCAATAGTTTGGCTGTAAGAGTAGCCTAAAGAAAGAACTCAAATACGCTTTTCGTGAAACCATCGAATTTTTATGTGCAACAGAATATATAAAATGAGGAAGCCTGATTAATATGATACAAAATTCTGATTACCGAAGTCTGATTGCATAAATTAAATGATTATCTTAATCAGATTCCTAAACTACCGAACAAATTTGTAGCAGAAAGTTTCCATTGCCCTACCTTGGAGTATTTTTTGGATTAGTCCGAATAAGTATTA